AGATACGATATTTTTAGTTTGATTATGAACCTAAATAGCTGTAAAACATGCAGAATTTTATTTAAAGAACCATAATAACGGGATTTATGGAAACTAAGAAATTATTTATGGCACAATAAAACTAGATCAAATTTGCTTTAAAATGCTTCATATTTCATTCGCATATCTCAATTAGTTCTTGAGATACGATATTTTTAGTTTGATTATGAACCTGGATAGCTCTAAAACATGCAGAATTTTATTTAAAGAACCATAACAACGGGATTTATGGAAACTAAGAAATTATTTATGGTACAATAAAACTAGATCAAATTTGCTTTAAAATGCTTCTTATTTTATTCCGATGTCTCAATTAGCAGCAAATTCAAACTGATGAATAGGAGATATTTGGAGAGAGAATAGCTCATGCGGCCAATAAGTTGGCAGACTTCAAGGTGATGAATAGTAATTCTTTCCATACATTTTGTTACTGAGTTTATCATTTCCTCTATATCTGTTAATAATACTATTTGTTGTACCTACAAAATCATTACAAAAAATCTTTCCGCAAAAATTTTTGCAAAAATTTGCAATTAATATTTTGTCTGCCTTTATTGTTTATCTTCTGTACTTTGAGTTATTTTTGCAAATCGTCATGATATTGTTACTGCGTTCAATATTTTTCTTCTACTTCTGATAATAAGCTTTTTAACATAATATTTTTTCTGCACTTGTTATGGTATTCTTCCCTAAAAGTAATGACGTCAATTGTTAAAAATTTTATGTTAAAAAATTAGTATAATACATATTCTTTAGGTTAGTTGAATTTAACAATGGTGAAACGATGAACGAAAGAATCCTCCGAAGCTTTTCGTTATCTCCCCCACTTGAAAACATTCCGAACATAGTTGGAGTAGGACCTGAGGTCCAGCGAATTCTTAGAATCAATTTCGTCGCGGAAAAAAGCACGCATTTTTCGAATTCTTCTCCGACTTTCATTATGACACTAAATCCTAATATAAGATTACTTAAATTTTACGTCAAGAATTTTTTTTAAGCTTTTATTATAACTGTTCCATATTAGGGATTGTCGTAAAATAAGAGTTGACCCGTTAAGAATCAATTAACATTTGCGTTTTGACGTCAAATCTCCAATGCGGACAATGAGCGGATCGTAAAATTCTATTTGGAACAACGAAAAATGATCGTTCCCATTGGAAAAAGCCCCCATATTGACGTCTTACCTCCTTTTACGCGAAGCTCATTTGCATCCGTTCGCATTGCATATCTCGGATTCTGTGGAAAATATCTACCTAATTTGAATTTTAATCGGCGTCGGAAGAGACAACACGACGCGCGATCTTCACGCGGTGAAAACACATACACAGCAAACGTAGTTTTCCCAGGTGTTACTTAACATTTAATTGCGTCTAATTGTCGGTGAGGAATTAACACCGTGAGGATTTTTTTTATTGGAATGTTACTTTTTTTACGACACCTAAGCAACCTTGCGCGAGACCGCGACGACGACGACGACGCCGTCAATGTTTATTTTTTTCTTTTTAATTTTTATTTTATTACTAAATTGAATTTTTATTTCTCTGTTTACATTGTTGGAACTGCGCCGAAGGAATGCATTTTACGCGGCGATCGCTTCGGGATTCGTTTAATTGCTTAATATTATCGTCTCTTTTCGACTCTATACAACGCGTCTTAATCTAAAATGTCTATTTCACGTAAGCTCACCTCTTCTTACAAAACGTAAACCGGACAAAACCGAAAGGAAAATTAAATGGGTTTTGAGGAGTGAGCAACAGGTGGTTACCGTCGAGTTTCACAATATTATACGCGTCTCGGGAACATTCTAAACACTTCTTATTTTTCACTTTGTGAAAAAAGTTTCGTACGCATTTAAGTGCGATTTTAAATCAACAAAAAACATCTAAATCATATTTTTATGGGTTAACTAAGAAAAATTAATAAATTTACTTACTAATTCCTTAGTTCTTTTTGTGTGAAAATGAAAAATTAGACAGTCTAAGGTTCATGGTGCTATTACAATTCCTAAATAGTATTAGAAATTTTATCCTTATCAAAATATAGATGTCTAAATTAATCCCTGAGATAACTAGAACCCTTGGTCATTCTTGGAAAGACAAATGGAATTTTTGGAAATCTTTTGAAAATGATAGAATCTTTCTGGAACATATTTGACAACTCCGGAATGCGTTAAAATCCTTAGATGTCCTTAGGAAATCTTAGATATTCTCTAAAGAGTCTTAGAAGTTCTCAAAAAATCCATTGATGTTCTCAGTAACTTTCTGGAAATTTTGCAGAAATCCCCAAGATGCTGACAGATCTCTTGATATCCTTCCTGAGTCATGTAAAATCTATGGATCCTTCCATAACCGTATAACATCTTTAGAAATATTATCAAAATCTTAATAACTTTCCCGAACACTTCTGGTAATTTATGGAACCTTTATAAAGCAATAGAAATTTTAGGATTTATATAGAAAGTCATCCCTGGAATAAGTAGAACCCTTGGGTAATCTTGAAAAGCCAAACGGAATTTTTGGAAATCTTTGGAAAATAATAAAATCTTTTATTAACATTTTGGAAAATTTTTATACTCATATTAAAAAATGTTCGATTATTTCAAAAATGCTTAAAAGGGGGATACTTTAATTAATAATTGGTGATATTTCCACAAGGATCCTTCAAGAAATTAATTTTATAAAGGATTTTGCAAGTTATAGATGAAAATTGCAGCATCGCAAATTTTATCAAAACTTGAGATATTGTTTTCTCAAAAACTAAAAGTTATTTTTGAAAACGGGTTGATTCATTGGAAAGAGGACCCTTTTATTAATATTTTGGGAAATTTTTATACTTACATTCTAAGAAATGGATTTTATACGAATTTTTAAAACTTAATCGGCGAAAATTGCAAAATTCGAAAAAATTGTCGATTATTTCAAACATTTATTTTTCAAGAACTGAAAGTGATTTTCCAAAACAGCTTTTTCCATTAAAAAGAGGATACTTTAATTAATAATTGGTGATATTTCCACAAGGATCCTTCAAGAAATTAATTTTATAGCGAATTTTGAAAATTATCGATGAAAATTGCAACATCGAAAATTTTATCAAAACTTCAAATATTGTTTTCTCAAAAACTAAAAGTTATTTTTCAAAACGGGTTGGTTCATTGGAAAGAGGACACTTTTATTAACACTTTGGGAAATTTTCATACTCATATTCCAAGAAATGGATTTTATACGAATTTTTAAAACTTAATCGGCGAAAATTGCAAAATTCGAAAAAATTGTCGATCATTTCAAAAATTTATTTCTCAAGAACTAAAAGTGATTTTTCAAAACGGCTTGTTGCATTAAAAAGAGAATACTTTAATTAATAATTGGTGATATTTCCACAAGGATCTTTCAAAAAATGAATTTTATAGCGAATTTTGAAAATTATCGATGTAAATTGCAACATCGAAAATTTTATCAAAGCGTCAAATATTGTTTTCTCAAAAACTAAAAGTTATTTTTCAAAACGGGTTGGTTCATTAGAAAGAAGACACTTTTATTAACATTTTGGGAAATTTGCATACTCATATTCCAAGAAATCGATTTTATACGAATTTTTAAAACTTAATCGGCGAAAATTGCAAAATTTGAAAAAATTATTTCAAAAATTTATTTCTCAAGAACAAAAAGTGATTTTTCAAAACGACTTTTTGCATTAAAAAGAGGATACTTTAATTAATAATCGAAAGTGATAACAGATCTGTTAGTAATGGATGTGATGATAAATTATAAGCGCAGAGAAGAAAACTAGACGAAACTGCAACAACAAATTTTATATATATATCGTATTAGGATTGTTACAATGAGGTTGCTAATTGCAAACCTGATATAAATAAAGTTGTATTCAATGAAAAAAGTCCTATTGAGGTTGAACTTGATTATTACCTGCAGTGTCTAACGCCTAAAAGAGATACTAATTCCTGTGAATGGTGGAGTACTAAGTAGTAAGGTAAAATCTTGAACTAGTATAAAAATCATTAATTATAGAAAATCTTTGGAAATGCTTTTAAAATCGTCAAAAACCAAACACTTCTGGAAAGTCTATGGACATTGTAATATTTTTATAGAATTAGAATTAAAATTAGTGTAGTTTAATTAGCAGAATCTGAAGTGACCTATTGATCAGAACCTTGGTTGAGTTTGAACCCGTAGCAATTTAGGGTAAAATCAAATCATTCATTAATCAATTGTGATCAGATTATAATATTAAAAAAAAAAATTCAACATTCTATAGAAATTCTTCTGGATGTCTGGACATCTTTCCAGAATTATAGAAAATCTTTGGAAATGCTTTTAAAACCATTATAATTTCCTGAAACATATTTGGATTTTTTTGCAAAATATCTACATATCTTTGGCAATCTTTATTCTCTAAAAATTGTCAAAAGCCAAAATTTTCTAGAAAGTCTATGGACATTGTAATATTTTTATAGTACACATTTAGAAACTCTGTTAATTGTTTCCATTTTTGTAATCCAGTAATTAGTAGCCTTCAATATGTGTAACATGTTTGTTGATCTATATTTTAATATTAATACAAGCAATAATTGAGCAATTGAATTCCTTGGAAGGGTTTAAAGGGCATAAAATCAAAACAACAACGTAAGATGTTACAATTTATATATTGAGGTAGGTCGTTTATCTTTAATTAGCAATAACGACACACAACAACGTAATCAAAACAATTTTTGCACTCAAAAATCTTTGTTTCAATAATCAAATTGAGATGAAATATATCCAAAATAACTGAATTAACATCATCTTATCGCCATATTGAGTTGATTTGCGTCGTCTCCACGACTATTTAGTGAATTTAGTTCGCATAAAGAAGAGAACCGAGAGTATCGGCGCAAAACGCGCAAGTAAAACTCTCCTGCGTGCGTGGAGAGAACGGCTTGGTTCTCCCGTTATACAGACGACGACGACGGAGAACGTTCGTTTTCAAGGAGCCCGCGAGTAGTGAGTGAGTGAATCCGCGGAGGGCGCGCAGAGACGAAGAAGAAGAGAGGAGCGACGACAGTAAGTCTACCAAGCAAAGAGGCCGATCCGATCCGCGTCGCTGCCATTCTGCCTTTACACCTCCTCTACCTACTTACGAGCTGTGACGACGACGACGACAACGATTACCACGACGACGACGACGACGACGACGACGACGGCGACGACGAAGGACTTCTCCACGAGGAGGACTTCTATAAGCGTCAGAGTCGCGCGCGACGCCAGTGTGCGAAAGTCTTAAACCGAGAAGAGTCGTCCTCATTATTTTCAATTTTTATTTTTTCTTACTTAAAAAACAAAAAAAAAATAATAATAATAACACGCAGAGAGTTGTTGGGTTATAATTCTCGTGTGGGCCGTTGGCGTTTCCTAATTTACGCGAGTAACCGCGAAATCCGGGCCCTGTTGAGAAGAGAGGAGTGATGATCGAGGTGTTGTGCGTCCGTCTACGACCACCGTTTTTACCACCCGGATTTTACGCGAAGTGCCCGTTGAGATGTGATCCGCAAGTCCGCTGAAAAAAGTGCTCAACGAGAGAGAGAAAGAGAGACAACAAAACCCTCCCGAAAATAAGAGGATTTAGAACAAAATCTAAATAGGATTATAACGAAGATATTGGACCAAAAACAAATAAGGTAAAAAAATTTAATTTTTTTTTTATGGAATTCGTTTACCAGAGAATCATTTGTACAGAAAATCACCATAAGTACTTAAGCGAATTAAACTCGCCTCACCAAGTGACTAAGAATCCCGACGTTTACGATGAGGCGTTACTCATGGAGCAATTGAACGGACCCCCAATTAAATCGTCAATTTCAGACGAGAAATTCTCTCGGGCTAAATGATTATTACTATATACATATATTACCATACGATTCGGCAGAAAAATGATGACGCAGACTTCATTTTTACTATATTCTATTTTTTTTAATTCGGAGGAGCCAAAAAGAAGGGTTGCTATTGGTCAGATTTAAGCAAAAATTACACTAGAAAAGAACTAGAAATATTTGGGTTTAGTCGCATGTCTCTCAAGATGGCTAAACCAGAATGATTCTAGTTCTAGGTCATGTATTAGTTCTAGTGATAGTGTTAGTGTAAAACTAGAACTAACACTAGAGCGAGAACTAGAAACATTCGCATTTAGCCGCAAATCTCTCAAAACGGCTAAACCCGAATGATTCTAGTTCTAGGTCTTGTGTTAGTTCTAGTGATAGTGCTGGTGTAAAACTAGAACTAACACTAGACCGAGAACTAGAAACATTCGGATTTAGCCGCACGTCTCTCAAGACGGCTAAATCCGAATGATTCTAGTTCTAGGTCTTGTGATAGTTCTAGTGATTATGCTAGTGTAAAACTAGAACGAGAACTAGAAACATTCGGGTTTAGCCGCACGTCTCTCAAGACGGCTAAACCCGAATGATTCTAGTTCTAGGTCTAGTGTTAGTTCTAGTTTTACTTCAATAAAAGTATACAACATAGTAATATCTTGTGCTAACTAGTATTACCTACTACTGCCACTAGAACTAACACTAAACTGAAAACTAGAAACAAACTTGGGGGTCCGCCAATTAAATCGTCAATTTCAGACGAGAAATTCTCTTGGGCTAAACGATTATTACCAATATACACATATTACCATACGATTAGACAGAAAAACGATGACGCATACTTCATTATTACTATATTCTATTTTTTAATTCGGAGGAATGTTTTCAAATTGAAACGCCAAAAAGGAAGGGTTGCTATTGGTTACACTTTTAAGCAAAAATTACACTAGAAAACAACTAGAAATAGTTGTTTCCCCCAAAAACCGCGTATAATTGCCGTACGTAAATGTTTACGGTGCCATAACTTTCTTATATGATACGAACAAAACTCCGTGACCACCTACAATCCATAGGAAATTTTCCGCTCTATACAATGGTACATAACTTTAGTAGATGGTATTATGGCACAAGCATTTTCCCCGATAAACTACAAAAACCGAGTGAAATTTTCGTAAGTAAATCTTTACAGCGCCATAACTTTTGTATATGATACAGACAAAACTTCGTTACTACACAGAATACATAGGAAATTTGTCGCTTTATACAGTGGTATACAACTTTAGCAGATCGCATGGTTGCACAAGCATTTTCCCCCCAAAAACTGTAAAAACCGCGTATAATTGCCGTACATAAATATTTACGGTGCCATAACTTTCTTATATGTTACGAACAAAACTCCGTGATCATGTAGAATCAATAGGAAATTTTCCGCGCTATACAATGGTATATAACAAATGATTTTAGTTCTAGTGATAGTGCTAGTGTAAAACTAGAACTAACACTAGACCTAGAACTAGAACCATTCGGGTTTAGCCGCACGTCTCTCAAGATGGCTAAACCCGAATGATTCTAGTTCTAGGTCTTGTGTTAGTTCTAGTGATAGTGCTAGTGTAAAACTAGAACTAACACTAGACCTAGAACTAGAAAATATCGGGTTTAGCCGTGCGTCTGAGGACTGACACTAGACTGAGAACTACACTGAGAGAAAAATGTCATTTTAAAATAAGATGACTCTTAACCAATATCCTTTTGTTTTAAAAGTGATAACTGTTGTTACTACCAGATAGTTACTTTAATAATGTCAGTTGTTGATTTTAAATCGCAAAATTTATTGTATTAAATTACGAATATAATTTTAGCGAAAGATAAAAAGTTCTTGAATTAAAAGTGTGTCCTTATTGTTTAACAGCACTTTTTGAACATCTTATTTTAAGGTAACTTTTTTAATTTAAAACCTTCTAGTTATTACAATTAAAAATAACACTTTTGTATGAAAAGGTAGATTATTTTGTTTTGTTCACGTGGTATTCTCACGTGATTTCGATCGATTTCGAACGTGTTCGCACGTGTTCATTGATATTCATCTTTAGTTTCTGTGCTTTTAGTGTGGTGGTGATTGTGAATGAGTAGGGACGTACAGTTTAGCCACGTTTAGCAAAGAAAATGGAAGAAATGGACAAGTCCGATATCGTAAGTTCATTGCTCATCAAGTGGAACTTGCCAGAGATAGTGTAGAACTAAAACTAACACAAGACCTAGAACTAGAATCATTCGGGTTTAGCCGCACGTCTCTAAAGAGGGCTAAACCCGAATGATTCTAGTTCTAGGTCTTGTGTTAGTTCTAGTAATAGTGTTAGTGTAAAACTAGAACTAACACTAGACTGAGAACTACTATCCGTGCCAAAAGTCAAAGCCCCTCAATTTAGAGATCGATATCTGCGCAACCGCTCGATAAAAAAAGATGCAGAAAAATTTGTTATAAATTACTGAACATTTTTATGTAACATATGTTAATTTGAAAATTTTCGGATCCGCGGTTTTCTTTTTATCGCGAGTTAAATAAAAAAAGTACCCGATTTTTTACGGTGCCGGCAACTTTGTCCACTTCGTGATTTTTTTTCTCAAAAACTATCGAACGAAAAAATATCAATTTTGTACAGGTGGTAGCCTGAGGTGTTCTTAATGAGGTTCATATTTTATTTCTTCGATATTTCTTAGAGTTTCGTGGAAAATCGCGGTTTAGCAAGACGCCGTTGTGTCGAAAACGGCTGGGTGGATTTCATCGCGGATTTTACTAAAATATGTCAAATAATTGTGTTTATCGGATAAATTATTATAAATTTAAAAAAAAAACAGAAATAAGCTCTGCGGGGAGAGGGAGGTTTCGTGCAATCGGAAAAGATGGTGCGTTCTAGACAGTACGTCGCGCCTTTATTTTACCTACATAAAAAAATAAGACGCGACGTCTTGTTTCTGGAACATACACCAAGACCATCTTTTCCGATTGGATCAAACCCTCCTTTCCCCACATGATTTATTAGTGTTGCTTTTTAATTTAAAATTTATAACCCGAATGATTCTTATTCTAGGTCTTGTGTTAGTTCTAATGGAATAGAATAGAATGGAATAAACTTTATTGTGCCAAAGGTACAGTTCACACTAACTATAATTTTAAATTACATAATAACACTGCTACTTAGATATTCATCGACTGAGTAGAACGCATTTCTTAGCAAAAACTCCGCCATGACATTTAAAAATTTATTTTTCTGGAGTGTTCTAATTTCCGAGGGCAATTTATTATATAAGACTTAAGCAGTATATCTATAGCTTTTTTGCTTTCCACTCAGTCGACAAAGATCATCATAAATATTTCTGCAGTTTCAAGTGTCATAATTGTGCAGGTAAGCATTTTGACATCACAGGGATGCGTGGAGCTTATACCGACTCCAAAGATCTTCGTTGCTAACCACAGTTGCTAAGATATATCGCCATAAAGTGTCATTTAAAATGTCATCTAAAATGTCACTTAGTTTATGTTATTTTAACACTAATTGAAAAATTGAATATGGAGATTTATCGTTAGCAACGAAGATGTTTGGAGTCGATATAAGCTCCGCCCATCAGTATGACGTCAAGGCTTAGGTTGTCTATTCCATAATGACGCCATAATTTGGTTGTCACTACGTCAAATCTTTTTAAATAAAAGGTTTAATATCTCGAAAACTATGCAGTTTAAAGCATTAAAACCTTATGGCATTTTGCAACACCTTGTCAAAAAGGATCCAAAAACCTTAAAATATACAGGGTGTTCCATTTAAAAAACACACTCACCATGTCGTAACTCAGACTGCCGTCAAGATTTTTATTTTGTTTCTACACCAAGATATGCGGAAAATAGTTTCCAGTAACTTTTATTTAAAACTTTTTTTAATATAAGTTGAAGTTTAGGCTGTAGAACCATTATTCCATACTTTTTGTACATCCTGTATAGTATTACATTTTAGTGATCGCGGATTTTACCAAAATATGTCAAATAATTGCGTTTATCGGATAAATTATTATAAATTAAAAAGAACAGAAATAAGCTTTGCGGGGGAAGGTAAGTTTCGTCTAATCGGAAAAGATGGTGTGTTCTAGACAGTACGTCGCACCGTTATTTTACCTACATAAAGAAATAATGCGCGACGTCCTGTCTCTGGAACACTCACCAGAATCATCTTTTCCGACCAAACCCTCTTATTTCTGTTCCTTTTTAATTTATAACTCGAATGATTCTAATTCTAGGTCTTGTGTTAGTTCTAGTGATAGTGCTAGTGTAAAACTAGAACTAATACTAGACCTAGAACTACAGAGCGTTCAACAATGATTGTAAGGTGTTTGAATTTCCCACTTTTGCGTTTAATTTTTAAGGCTGGTATGAGAAAACTAATAAGCATAGGCGTATCATAGGAACAATTTCGAAGGCATTAAAAAATTTATGAGGTTAAAAACTTTATGTTTAAAATTTATCAATGTGTAACTTTATTAATAAAATTTAAAAATGTGTATGAAATCAATTGATATTTATTCACATTTTGTTACAATAAATGTTGAAACTTGTTAACTCGAAAGCAATTAAAACATACCACGCCACTGATTGTTAAAAATACGTCGAAAACATCAGCCGGCACCAACGTTGTTTGTCAAATGTTACTAAAAGCCAAGCGCGCCAAATTCAAACACCTTATTATCATTGTTGAATGCTCTGTATAAACATTCGGGTTTAGCCGCACGTCTCTCAAGATGGAATTTATCAGATAAATTAT